TTATATAAATTAAATATTAATATTTAAATACTTAAATGTATTATTTTAAAGTTTTGTGAAAAATATTTTTAATTTTCAATTAGTCTAACCTTAAAAAAAGAAACTATTTAAAAATATAATTTCTAAATAGAATTTAGAAAACATTTGAGGTGGTTAACATGTAACATTGTAATTAAAAAACCTTATGTTTTATATAATATAACGCATTTTTATCATTAAAATGTTTATTTATTAAAACAGCACAATATAATATTAAAATTAATAAATATTAGAAATGTGCCATTTTAATAAATAAACATTTTAATGATAAAAATGCATTATATTATATAAAACATAAGGTTTTTTAATTACAATGTTACATGTTAACCACCTCAAATGTTTAAACTTCACCTCACCTTTACATATTTCTTAATAGTTTATTTTTTAGGGTTACACTAATTGAAATTTGAAAATAATTAACAAATAAAAAATGAAACTAGTTTAGAGTTTTTAATTTAATTATTGTTTTCAGTTCATATTTATTTTAAGTAGCAAAATTGGTTTATTTTTAATTATCTATAATATGTCGCCCTCTTGTGAATGAAATGAATTAGATTTTTCACCACTCCTTATTGTCTCCTGACCTCCACTTTGGGAACCATGGGTCTACAGAACAAACCACTGTTATACAATAGCTTGCCTAATTACCCTAACTTTACCATAATTACCCTTAGTGAAGCCTTTAAATGCCACTTTAAGCTGAATACTAGTGTCTTGAAGAATGTCTAGTCTAATATTATTCCCTGTCATCATGGCAAAGATAAAATAAATCAGTTATTAGAGATGAGTTATTAAAACTATTATGATTAGAAATGTGTTTAATTAAAATCTTCTCTTCATTAAACAGAAATTGGGGGAAAAATATACAGGCTGGCTAATAATTCTGACTTCAACTGTATATATTAAAGTCTCTCACTCATAAATCATTTTAATGTCCATTATAAATAAAAGTGAGCGCTGTAAAGCTTCAGACATCATGTGAGCCAAGCAGAAAGTGGCTCCATTAAGGCAAATGAATAAACTCAGCTGATTAAACACACACACGCGCGCGCACACACACCTCTGAAAAGCCACTTAATCAGCAGCACTTAATGTGGGCTCATCAGAAAGGCACTTTGTGAAGCGCAGAGAATTAAACAGATCATCAATTAAAGCAGACTCTCGATTAAACAGGACACTTTTCACTGCAAATCAATGCATATTAATGGCATTCAGCATATAAAGAATATAAATCCTATTTTTAGTTAACGTGTGTCCTTAACTGTGGTTCCCACCGAATTCCAAGCATATTTTAATATATTATTTATAATTTAAATATAGCATTGCATTTTTATGTACAGCTGAAGTCAGAATTATTCGCCCCCCTTTTATTATTTAAATTTTTTTTTTTTTTTTATATTTCCCAAATGATGTTTAACAGTCAGGAAATGTTCACAGTATGTCTGATAATATTTTTTCTTCTGGAGAAAGTCTTATTTGTTTTATTTCGGCCAGAATAAAAGCAATTCTTAATTTTTTAAAAACTATTTAAAGTCAATATTATTAGCCCCTTTAAGCTATATTGTTTTTGACAGTCTACAGAACAAACCATCATCATACAATAACTTGCCTAATTCCCCTAACCTGCCTAGTTACCCTAATTACCCTAGTTCAGCCTTTAAATGTCACTTTAAGCTGTATAGAAGTGTCTTGAAGAATATCTAGTCTAATATTATTTACTGTCATCATGACAAAGATAAAATCAATCAGCTATTAGAGATGAGTTATTAACACTGGTATATGGTATTAATGTGTTGAAGAAATCTGCTCTCCAATAAACAGAAATTGGGGAAAAAATAAACAGGGGGCTAATAATTCAGACTTCATCTGTATTTATATTAAGGTTATTATAGTTAACGAAAACAAACGAAAACTGAAATAAATGATTAACTGAAATAAAAATATAAACGAGAGTTTTTTTAACACTAGAACTAACTGAAACTGTATTGTGTACATACAAAACTAACTGAAACTAAACTTATAGCAAAAACGCCCTTCGTTTTCGTATTTGTAAATGTATTTAATACATAATATTACTGTAAACCATTTAGAAGTAAATCTATTTACTCAGCACTGCAGGTGTTTAACCCGTGCGGCACCTCAGAGCCATTGGCCAGATCAAGCCGGTTCTCCTCCAGTCAGTCCTCGCTGTTGCTCCCGCGACAAAAGCAACGAGTGGACATGACAGCAGCACGGCGACAGCATTAAATACAGACACTTTAAACTATTACTTTAACACATTTGTGCCCGATATTGGGTTTTCTGTATTGCGATCGCAAACAAATCTTTTTAACCGGATCTTCTAAGTGAACCAGTTGAATTAGTTCACCAAATCGAACTGAATTTTTTGAAACGATTCGCATCTCCAGTAAGCACTCATCCACAAACTACTTACTTTATAACAAGTCTAATACCCCCTCTGACTCTAAATAATCCAATATATACTCTCATGCAGTTATTAGAACAGTAACATTACACTGAGAGGCGGTGAACAGATGATACTGCGCATGCGTGATTCAGTAAACCAAACACAAACAGTGCAGCCTGCTGTGACTGAACTAAACTTAAACAACTGCAGCGCGGGTAAACCGAGGGCTTAAATGAGAGGATCTGGTGAACAACGTAAGTTTAGTTCATAACAGAAAGTCGTAATAAGTGAATCATGATTCAGTTGGGTTGCAAAACTTTACTGTAAGACATTTTTCAGATCATGCTGATGTTTTAACTGACTGAAATGACTATTGCTGACTACATAATGTTGAGTCCAAACATCCGCGTTAAAGATCTGAACTTCCCATCACTACTGTGTGTCTAACCTCAGAGCAGTCTTGCACACATATTGTACTTCAGGCTGCTGTCCTGTAGGCTGCTGTATTTGAGTTTGAGGATGGGTAGATGGTTGTGGTAGATGATAGTGTCCTCTGAATACACGATTCAAAAAATGTATGACTGAGTTTTAATTATCCAATATTTATCCTGTTGATTTTGAATCTTGCACCTAACAAATATCCTCATTTAGAAAAAAACTGAAACTAATAAAAACTAAACTAAAACTAGATATTTTCAAAATATAGAAACTAACAAAATGTAGTAAATCTGCCTCTAAAACTAATTAAAACTGACTGAATTATATATATATATATATATATATTCATTTTATTTTTTTAGGTTGTAGACTTACTGAGGACATAAAGCGTCAGTCTGACAGCAGCCAGGCAGAATCCCTCAAAGAAGCGTAGCGTGCTGAACATGGACATGTCCACCGAGAACGCCACAGCCAGACCAAACACCAGCACTGACAACACTGAGACCAGCAGCACCGGGATACGACCCAGCCTGCGCAGGGAAAAAGACAGAAGGTCAGAACATACATGTACATACATACAGACACACATATGTACAGTGCTCAGCATACATAAGTACACCCCTCACAAATCTCTCTTTCAAACTCATATTTTTATAGGCAGTTCTACAATATTATATTTGTGCATATGCATTACATTAGTCACTACTGAAGCCAAATCTGGAGCTTATCTGATAAAATAACTTATGATAACGCTGCAAAAACTAGCACAGCCAAATTTATTTGTCATAAAAAATTATTAAATACAAATTTGACAAAGAGGGAAAATCAAGAGAGGCAAAAAAAATTTAAAAATAGAGTTGAAATTTTGTAGGTTGTCATTTTTTTGCAATGTTTTGCTTGAATTTAATTGTATTATCTTTCAATTTCTAAATATGTTTGGTGACTAAAATATTATGTTAATAAATATATCTGTTTAATGAATCTGTTCTGTTTAAATGCACCAAAATACACTGCCAATATTCACTGAGAAACAGAGAAACATGTTCATTTTTATGAAATAGGCTGTACTCAATTATGCTGAGTACTGTAAACACACATACACTCACCGGCCACTTTATTAGGTACACCTGCCTAACTGCTCGTTGGCAAATTTATAATCAATCACATGGCAGCAGCCCAATGCATTTAGGCATGTAGACATGGTCAGGACGATCTGCTGCAGTTTAAAGTGAGCATCAGAATGGAGAAGAAAGGGGTTTTAAGAGACTTTGAACGTGGCATGGTTGTTGCTGCCAGACGGGCTGCTCTAAGTATTTCAGAAACTGCTGATCTACTAGGATTTTCACGCACAACCATCTCAAGGGTTTACAGAGAATGCTCCGACAAAGAGGAAATATCCAGTGAGCGGCAGTTCTGTGGGCGCAAATGCCTTGTTGTTGCCAGAGGTCAGAGGAGAATGGCCAGACTGGTTCCAGCTGATAGAAAGGCAACAGTAACTCAAATAAGCACTCGCTACAACCGAGCTCTGCAGAAGAGCATCTCTGAACACACAACATGTCCAACCTTGAGGCGGATGGGCTACAGCAGCAGAAGAGCACACCGGGTGCCGCTCCTGTCAGCTAAGAACAGGAAACTGAGGCTACAATTCACACAGACTCACCAAAACTGGACAATAGAAGATTGGAGAAACGTTGCTGCTCTGATGAGTCTCCATTTCTGCTGACACATTCAGATGATCGGCTCACAATTTGGCATCAACATCATGAAAGCATGGATCATCCTGCCTTGTATCAGCGGTTCAGGTTGGTGGTGGTGGTGTAATGGTGTGGGGGAGATTTTCTTGGCACACTTTGGGTTCATTAGTACCAATTGAGCATCAACACCACAGCCTACCTGAGTATTGCTGCTGACCATGTCCATCCCTTTATGAGCACAGTGTCTCCATCTTCTGATGGCTACTTCCAGCAGGATAACGCAGCATGTCATAAAGCGTGAATCATCTCAGACTGGTTTCTTGAACATGACGATGAGTTCACTGTACTCAAATGGCCTCCACAGTCACCAGAGCTCAATCCAATAGAGCAGCTTTGGGATGTGGTGGAACGGGAGATTGACATCATGGTTGTACAGCCGACAAATCAGCAGCAACTGTGTGATGCTATCATGTCAATATGGAGCAAAATCTCTGAGGAATATTTCCAGTAGCTTGTTGAATCTACGCCACGAATGATTAAAGCAGTTCTGAAGACAAAAGGGGGTCCAACTCAATACTAGTAAGGTGTACCTAATAAAGTGGCCGGTCAGTGTATAAATACACACACACACACAAAACCACAAAACAGTGTCATGTTGCACAGATATATTTGTAGGAATAGTAAAAACATACATTGTACAGGTCAAAATGATAGATTTTTATTTATTTAATGCCAAACATCATTTAGAAAATGACACTGCAACAACGTTTTTGTCTTGTTTCTAGTCCAACTATCTACAAATACTCAAATCAAGAAGCATTTTCTAGATAAGCAGAACATATTGTCTTGTTTGCAGAAATAATGAGTCAAAATGAAGTGAGTTTTGACTTAAAACAAGGAAAAATTATCTCATTTTAATGTGTAGGCAATATTATCTTGCTTACTTCATTGACAGATTATTGTTATCATTATATTATTTTGACTATAAGCAACAGAAATAAGCATTTTTGTTGCAGTGTTTGGTGCAGGCAGCGTCACATATACTGTAGTGTACTGTGTTTTTACCAGTCTGCCATGGCTCCCATCAGTAAGTAGCCGAAGATGGAGCCCACCAACAGAGAAAACTTGGCGATGTGAACTTTCCACTCGCCGTCACACACCAGAGTCCACTGAAACACACAAAACACCTGTCAAAACTCTCATCATTATAATCACTCCTTTATTTAGACAGGAAGTCACATTAGGATACTACAATCTCACCTTCCAGTGAGACCTGGACAAGAAGACAGCACATAATAGTCACATGCATAATGACAAAACCAACCACAAATTACACATCAACAGATCATAAGTCATAGTTTGTGATCACATCATTAAGAAAACCTTTTAAGGGGACCTATTATGCCCCTTTGTACAAGCTGTAAAATGCATCTCTGATGTCTCTAGAGTGTGTGTGTGTGTGTGTGTGTGTGATTCAGCTGAAAACAGCACACAGATTATGTTTTCTAGCTCTCTGAAACTGACCCTTTCAGGCTTTGATCCTAATTGTGGTGTTTTGGTGACTGTCGCTTTAAATTCAAATGAGATGGTGCTCTTTTTCAGAAGAGGGCGGAGCTACAGACACCCGTGTGTCAGCATAGTGGCAGATTCAAAAACAAGCCTGACGTGGCATGCTAATGAGGAAGAGACGGTCACTAGTGGGCGGGGCTTTCCCCCCTATGACGACATGTACAAAGGGAGAATGTCAATCAAAGTGTTTCTGCAGACGGTTTTATCAAGTGACACACACTCTCTCACGCACACACACACACAGCAGGACATCAGAAGATTAAAGAAAAACAGGCAAACAGGAAGTCTCTCCTGGAATGAGCCGCTTATCTGACACTTGTAGATAAACCCTAAGTGTGAAGGAAAGTGTGTGTGTGTGTGTGTGTTTATCTATTATCAGCAGCTTCAGTGCCAGACTACACTGAAAACACAAACTGCACTAAAACAATCTGCTTTAACTGGATTTTATGCGATTATACGTAAACAATTAGTAAATACACACTTTAAACCGATTTTTAAGCCGTGAGGTCAGGTGACCAAAAGTCAATGTCTAGCCAGCGTCTAAGGACAACGCTATTTTGACGTCCAATAACAACATTAAATGACGTTGATGTTAGTTTGATTTAGATCAGTGGTCCTCCAAATTTTTTCATCAAGAACCACCGCAGTAAAAAATTGCCAAGTGCCACCATAATGAGCAGTATTGAAATACAGCGTAGTAAAGCAGCTACAGTTCTGCACAGTTCAAAAACCTGGCAGAATAATTCCTGTTATTAAGAATATTTATTATTGTCAGCCACTTTAAACATGAACAGTCTGAACGTTAACACCGTACTGTGCTTATATGTAAAAACAAACTAAAAAAAGTCAACATTTAAATTAAAATGTGTAAAAGGTAAAAAGAATGGTGCTGTACTTAAATGTAAAGTATTAACATATAGTAGTCAACTCATCAACACCTGAAAATGTTGCCTGGACCTCAGAAATATAGGCTATATGTCATATAATGAATATTATTATATGTCAAGTTTATATGTAAATCATTTTTGATAAATCTTGAAATATTTGTAGCATGTACATATTACATATTTGATTCCTCCGTGTACCACTAGAAGGAAGCCCGTGTACTACTAGTGGTACACGTACAGCAGTTTGAGAACCACTGATTTAGAAAGAGAGCAAAATCCAACATCTTAAACCAACGTCATATTGACGTCAAATACTGACATTTATTTGTCAGTTATGACAACCAAAATCTGATAGACGTCATAGTGGTGACGTCCACACAACGTAATGTAATGTGTATTTATATAGAGTGTTACATCCTATGATGTATTTAGGTAATAAGTTGTTGGTGTGAGTGGCAGCTTATTGCTCTCCCCTTTTGTTTTATTAATCTCTCTCTCTCTCTCTCTGCTTCTCTCTCTCATTGATCAGCGTTCCAAACCAGCCGCACCTGTTTTCAATCAGAGCAAACCGGATCGGTTGATAGAGCTTCCAGGCTTTATAAAGAGGCAGAGCGGCAAAGCACGTCCCTGTTTTCCCTATCCCAGTCATAATAGTGCGATATTTAGAACTGTGAACTTGTGAATCTTGTGAGATTATAGCGTGAATAAGTGTGACGTGTAACTTTATGTGAAAAGTAAGCCGTGTAGAGAGACGAGTGCTGATTTATTTTGGGTTTATCCTTTAAGTTTCCTCCTGTTTCTGGATTTAGCCAGGTTGTGGGGTAAGCATTGTCACTGATTTTGAGATATATATATATATATATATATATATATATATATATATATATATATATATATATATATATATATATATATATATATATATATATATATATATATATATATATATATATATATATATATATATATATATATATATATATATATATATATATATATATATATATATATATATATATATATATATATATATATATATATATATATATATATATATATATATATATATATATATATATATATATATATATATATATATATATATATATATATATATATATATATATATATATATATATACATATAGTAATATATATATATATATATATATATATATATATATATATATA